CAAGTTGTAATAAGTAATTGCACCAGTGAATTGGAGACACTTTTTTTAATAATTCAATGCAATATTATTAAGGATGATTCCATGCAAAAGATTCACCAATGGCCCATCCAGAATCTGGCGATCTACTTGTTAATTAATCGTGAAATCGTTACCTTTCCGCCAAAGTATCACAAGCGACGTCACATTTGACGTTCAAAAGCTTTCGCCGACATTTTGATTTTTACAGAGCAATTTTCAGTTGAATTTGTTTGAAAATATCACTGAATTTTATCGTCAACGCAAAGAAAATTCAGTGAAATTTCCGGATGGCTTTGTTGATAAATTTCTCTGTAAAACAAAAAAAAATGGCGGCGGAATTTTTGAAACGTCGCATGGCACTTGTGATACTTTTGCCGGAAAGTGATGAAATCCTGATTGATTTGACAAATTATAAGGTCTTCGAACCTTAAAAATTGAGATGATCTTCTGCGCTCTCAAAGAAAAAAATGAGGATTTCTCAGGATGAAAAGAGATTAAAACCATAAATTCAACGAATGCGCTGAGTTGCATCTGTCTCAGAGTCACATGCCACAAGTATTCAAAAGGCAGGGACCTGTGCATTCGCGTAAAACATGTACAAACCTGGAAATCAAGGTAAGGTTGGAAGTGGTTGTAGCCTCGATAAGTATAAGTTTATCTCGAGCAATAATGCACATAAAGAGGCGTTTACAAGAGCCTTTCAGGATTTAGAGCTCCGTGAATTTAGGTCTTCCGTTATCGTCAATTTCAAACTCATTGTTGAAGTGTAAAAAATTGTACTCAGCTTATCTTTCGAGCGGTTTGGATGCATCATTTCCTTTTATTGAAACTTTCGGATCGCTGATAGTACAAGCAGAGGCAGAGTATTCAGCATGACGGTAATTAGGAGGAATAATTCTCTTAAAATACGAACGCTATCTTGACATGAGTCGTTCGGTTCTCGAAGCGGGTATGCCCATTTACATTTTGCACCTCTCTGCTCGTCTTAAAGTGAATTAACACCATTCAGGTGGCAGAGCACTTTTCTCTGAATATTCCTAATGAATATACCGCACGGAGGGAAAAAAGTTCGCTTCACGTTGAGGACCAGAGCTTTTTGGTTCAGAAAACCAAAGTTTTCGGTGACAGAAAAGCTAACCGGAATGACCTATGACCGAGAGCTCCGCCTAGATTGACCGAAAAAAAACAAATTGTTATCACTGTTCAGCAAAAACCGAAGTTCAGGCCCTGTAGCCTAAGTTTCTTTTTTCTCGGTGCAATCATTTAATTTTTACTGGAATTGAAAAATATGCGAGACAATTTTCACAAAATTTAAAATAGGCATCATTTGACGGTATGAAATGACTAAAAATATAACTCATTTGGAGAAGTATGTAAAAGAATACCACCCCGGGAGGTATTCAAATGAATCAATAAAATCTAACTCTCAGAAGAGCATAAACGACCTAAAGCATGAATAAATGAATAATGTGTTCCTTCTTAAATACTTCGTCTATGCGAAGATCAAATGATCGAAAAATTTTGAAAAATTATAGCTCATGGGTTAAAAGTTGGTAGTTTCCTTAAATACAGCCTTGATCACAATACCATTCTACAAGGAAAATAATTATAATAATTTTTTGTCAAATTATTTTAAAATATTCGTGAGGGACAATCGAGGAACCAGAGAGATTTTATACACCACATGTTTTAGACGGTTTTGCGGGAAAACATGTCGATGCGACAGAATTGGTTACTTCTTACAATAGGAAAATTATGCGGGCTGTTGTATTAGCATACATCCAGAAAATGTAGTAGATATCGTAAAGAAACTTGTACTATTTATTAATGCACGGTCCGATAATTTATCTCTGCTTGAAGTTCTGGCAAATTACCAAATGGCGCATATGACTGAACGCAATCATAATTTACGAACCTGAGTTTACAACAAAAGTGCCGCTCCTTAAATTTATCTACAGGTGTATTTATTTTGCCGCCTCAATGAGTGAGATCTACCAATTACCTTCTGAAGAAGGATTGTGACAAGTAAAATGCGTAGATACATCCGCATACTACATGACTTCAATTAGGATAAAACGAGTAGCTCCTTGTAGACAAATAGGAATGGGATAATTCGAGATTACCCACTTTATACTTGGATAAAATTGGAATGAAAAACATAATTAAATTCCTACTTAATTATTGAAGTTTCTAAGTAACTCACAATGCGACGTCAAGAATACAAATATGTATTTGCCTCGCAATGAATTGCAGTTGCTTTTAGACATGTTATTAAAAGATTAAGAAAAATAGGTGGAACTTACGAAATTCAAAACTCCCGCCTATTGATGGGGTTGAATTTATCAGCTTAAAAATGACGTAAGCGATGCTTAATTTTTCGGAAATCAAGATTTATACTTCGCAATTTAAAGTGTGTTTTAAAATATTCTATAGGTTTCTAAATGCTAAAATGTTGAGGTTCAATTTACACAACACACAAGACCCAAAAGAGTCGTTTATTAGCGCAGCTTGATTAAGAACAAATGAATATTTTAGGGAAACAGATGGAGCGCAGAGAGTGAGCTTGGAATTTTCAATTAAAATTGATGATTCATATTGGAAATATATGTTAACAATACTGCTCAACAGCTTATTTGCAGTTTCCCATTCTGATTAACTGAAAACAATTCAATTTACGATTTTAGTACTGTGTAGCATATGTCACGAGTATGCTAGTCACTTTGAAAGGGAAATCAATATTAAGGTCACGTAATCACGCAATGCTTAGTGCGATTTTAGGAACATTTAGGAAATTGTAAATAAGAAAAATAGAGAGAAAATTGGTACTATCTAAGGCTGTCTTAAAGTCGTAAAGTGGCAGTGCACCACTCGAAGAATTTCAGTTTAAATTTAAGCAGCCAAATATTGTAAAACCGGGGAACAAACTTCCGGGAACGAAAATAGTAAGATTAACGACTGCCCAAAAGCCAAAAGTACCTACTTTAAATAAGAGCTGGAAAATTTCGATTCTAAAATTTGAGAAATAGCAAGCATTGAAACCTCAAAACATCCTACTGAGAAACTGGGCAAAACCTTGCGCTATCCTCTTAAACTATTCCAGGTTAAGATAATAATTATGAAAGCCTCAAAACAACGATAAAATGGGTGACATCAAAAGATGTATCAAAAGCAGAGATGTCTTCACCACCGCTCAAAATTTTCAGCTTAAATGGACGGAGTTAAACAGAAAGGAACCAAGCCACATCGGGATCGAACCGAGAAAAAGGGTTTTAAAGTTTTGCTCCTGTATAAGACTCAATGTAAAAGATAAACTTCAAGTTCAATTTCTGCAAAATTTGCTCCAACAAAAAATTTGAATTTTTGGAGATAGATAGTAGAGCAAAGGTTGGGTTCAAAACCACTCATAACTAAATTTTTTTCCAAAATGTGGGTTGGTTCCTTTCTGCTTAACTCAGTCCAATTTTAAGGCGCCGAATATCGTGGAGAACTCCGGACAAAATTAAGCTAGGCAAGACGGCCGATAAATTTTAGCGCAATTTTCACGGGTCTACAAGAAAATGACCGATTCGCAATTTAATTCGCCGGTCATAAACGAAAGCCGACACAATAAGGGCTCGTAAAAATCGCTCCTGCCAATCGTCGTCCAACAATTCAATTAAAATCCGAGCGCCACGCCACGCTCGCCACGCCGGTCGAAAGGGGAAATTCGGGCCAAGGTCCCTCGAAATGCACAAACGATATTTAATTTTGCAACTGCACCAATGCACCGGTGCAACGAGTGTCCTAGCTTTAGGGGCTTGCCGCTAATAGAGGCGAAACTTTAATTGCTGGGCGGAATTTCAGAATGCCTACTTCTAAATTGAACTGCGAAAGGTTAATGGAATCTTATAGGTTTAAGATAATTCTACTCAAATTAAGGGGAGGGGGAGGCTCAAAGTATCATCTTATTTTCCGAAATCTAGAGCACAATTTTCCTTAACTCAAACCACGATAAAGCTTCCATCAAATTATGATTTAGTTGTCTTAAAGCTTTCAACTTCCACCAAACATTTTTCGAATTTTTATTTTTAGATTTAAGATAGCTCTACTCAAGTTAAGGGGGGGGGGTTCAGATAATCATCTTATTTTCCTAAATCTAGGACACGATTTTCCTTGAACTCAAACTATGATAAAACTGTCCTCAAATTATGATTTAGTTTTCTTAAAATTACTTTCGACTTACACCAAGTATTTCTCGAATTTTTATTTTTCTATTGGGAAAATGTTCGATAAATCAATGGTGTATCAACGAGGGAAAAGTCCTCGAGGGTTCACTCCTAAAATATCTATTGATGGAGAGTTGGTCTAGCTATGATTGGATTTCTATTATTTTGGCGTTATGCTCTAAGGAACCGCACCTAAAGTATATTTCACGAAATAATTTTTCAGTATCACCGGAACCGAAATATTAATATTACTGGTTACTTACAGGTGTCAATGTTCACCAACTCTATAACAAAATTAATTAAAGCACCGTAAAAATTTTCGAACCGACTAGCGAATTGGAAATCAAATCAAAGTTGAGTCGGTTATCACCTTATGGTTTGATAAAATTTGCAGCGAGGAGACCGTATCACAAAAATCGTAAAATGAATAACCACGCGGTAGAAAATCCAACATTATCAGTCAGAGACGAACGAAGAAAAATCACTGGGGCATATTAAAATTGATTAATTTTATTTTTCGCGGTCGGTAAAATTCTAAAATTCTGCCGGCTGTTTTCAACAGGTAGCCTGTCTCAAAAATTGGCGCGGTTCTGCAGATTCAAATTTAAATTCCTCATCGCTCCTAACAATTTAAAAATCGCGTTTTGTTAAAAACGAACACACTATTTGAGGTTATCAGAATTTTAAACGAATAATTCAACACTGATAATTAAAATCGAATTGTTTGGGGCCACTGTTGGGGGCGGGGGCAATAATGGAGACAAATTTGAAACATACCGGTGTTGAGAATGGAGCGTCCGTATCGATCATGTTGCGGCAACAAATAAATAAGTGTGCATCCTTAGGTGAACAACACGTCAGAATAAAAAAAATAACTATCGGCGAACCAAACAAAAATTTATTCCGAACAAACAATATTTCACGAAAAATTTTGTACACAAGATGAACAACAAGAAGTAACAACGGTAGAAAAAAATAAAAACGGAACACTTCAGCGATAACAGACCGCGAACACACCGCACTGTGAGAAATTAAGTTCGGATGAAAATTTTAAAAAACCGCACGGAACAAGAATAAAAATAGACCGGGTCGAAGTTTCGCGCGAAGGGTTGAAAATTCGGGGGGCGCACTGATAATTTGCGAGAGGGTGTGAGGATCACGCCGAGAGGGAGCGGAGAGCAAAACCAGGGTCGAAAACAAAAGAGCGGTCGAATACGTTGATTAATAATGCAAGTACGTGAAGAGAGCGCAGAAATCACATCACCAGCCGGCCTTCATATAATTCACTGCACAAAATATGCAGTCGACGAAACTGCATCGGGAGGCCATGCAGCGAGCGAAGGAGCGAAAAAAACCGACCCGATCCGAGCCGAGTGGAGCACCGCGCGAAATGAGAAGAAAAAATTATAAATTAAAAAAAAAACGAGGAGAAGAAGAAGAAAAAGAAAGACAAAATAAAAAGAAAAATGAAGGATGGAAAAAAAAAGAAAATAACTTTCAGAGGCCTACGGAGTCGGGCGGAGATCGGTGCATTTCGTGAACTTTCGGGTTTATCGCTTCCCCTACGTTTTAATACTCCCTCCATTTTAATGTTTATCCCTACTCCGACGGGAAAAAACTCCGGCGGATTTTTTCCTTCTTCTTCCTTTCATTCTCCGTCGTAGTAAACTGCACATGCAATTCTCCCCTCCACTGCGCCGTAACCTCACTCCGGCTCCTTCCCCCCTCCACTCCGCCGCGCCGCGCCGTCCACTCTTCCCCTTAGCTCGCTCGGCTCTTGCATCCTTTCAATCAAACTTTGCGAATTAAAACCTGCCGCCGACCCGGCTCTTAACACGCGATTCCAACCTTAAACTTTAAAAGCTCTAAAAGCCTCTAAATTCAACGACATTTTTTAAGAAACTATCACTTAATGGCCCCTTGCGGCCACAAAGAAAAAAAAAAGAAACAACCAATGATTACTCAAAAAATTTACTTTAGGATTCAAAAAATTCTTACTCGAATGAGAATATATTCGTAATGAAGTTCGGAAGAGTTAATTTGGTCTTGCACACACTAGCGCATTGGTCCTGAATGCCGGTCGTCGCGGCGCGTGAATGGAGACGGCGGGCGTGGATGGTGGCGCGCTCTGGCGGGCGCCGCGCGAAGCAGGCAGACAGATAAGTCGGCGTTGAGAGTGGTCATGGTTCTCCGAGCGGGCGGCGGCACTGCTCCGGTATTTTCGTCGTCGAAAGCTCACAATTCGCGTTCACTAAAAACAGTTCGCACTCATAAATCCGTGATTTGGTCGTGATGTGTCTCCTCGGAGTTTGTCTCCACGTGTGTTGCGGTGTGTTCGTTGGTTGCAAAATCCCAGGATGAACTGAATTTGTGGTCGGTGCGCGCACTCGCGAAATTAAACCGCCGGGGATTTTGAGTTCGCACAGATGAGGAAAACACAGATTCGTGGAATGATCCTGACGCACGACGACGCACTAAAAAACCGGGAACCCTAACCTTAAAACTGGGTCGTTATCACTGAATCGCGCACTAGCAACAGGTTAACCGGCGAAATTTCGCGAGCACAGTTCGTTATCGTTATCACTGATGAGAGTCCGTCCGCGGTGGGGTGGGGGCGTGGGGGTGAGGGCAGGGGCTGGGGGGTGAAAAATAATGACAAGAGGGTAAACTTACCTACAATTTGAACCATGTTCTTGGTGCACCGGTGTAAATGTTTCCTGATAATACGTTTCTCAGCGACGCATCTCGAGTAGGAGCATTCGGCCATGTTTGATTTTATAAAACACTCGAACTAGTGTTGTTGTTGTGAACTATCATGTTGATAACCGATGCCGATAAGGTGGCGGCGAGATAGCGCTGAGGTGCCGCGGGTCGCTCCAGCGAACCACTAGCAACACGCGAGATGCATTCGCGGCTGGCGGTTCATTTCCGATGACGTCACACTGCCTCTATCAGGTTTTGTGACGCAACTAGTGTTGTGTCCTTAGATGCAGTTTTTTGTTTCTTCTCCCCTCCCTCCCTNGGCGAGCCCCCCCTCCCCGCCCGCCTCCTTCGCCGACTTCGCCTCGCCGATTCTCCCCCCCCTTCCCCTCTTTTTTAACTTCCTCGCCCGTTTTCACTCTTCCTCTTTTATTTTGCATTCTCTTTTTCTTGTTTTATTAATAACATCCCCTCCTTTATGATTCCCCTCTCGCGCCGCGCCCGCGTTCATGCTTTACTTAAACTCTCTCCGCAACCGTCCTTTTTTTTCGCTTTATTTTTTAACTCCCCGGTCTTGAAAATATAGCGAAAATTTTTATTTTTCCCGCCCTGCGCCCTCTCGCGCTGTCTCACTCTCCCCCTCCCCCCTCCCCCTTCCCGGCCCTCGGAGCCTTTCCTTTCACCCTCTCTTCTGTTTTAATGCATAAACCGCACTCCTGATTTTCTAGTTCTTTTCATTGTGTAATATCTCTTAATCTTCTTTCTTTTTCTAATTTTCCACTTTTTTATTATCATTCAGATGTTCTCCTTTTTTTCCCTTTAAATTTCTCCCTTTCTCTCTTCGACGCGCGCACTTGTCGAGGCTCTATCTCTATGCAGCGGCTTAGTGTAAAATAAGTCCCTCTTTTAACGTGCCCCCCCCCCTCCCCCGCATGCACACCTCCCCGTGGCTCTCTTTCTATTAGCTCGCGTATTTTTTTTTATAATTTGTTCACCCTCATTAAAAGGAGGGAGGAAATCATACCGCCATACACCTACCCCTTCCGACAATATTTTCCCTTCCAGAAACGGGGCGCGGAAAAATAACTAAAATAAGAACAGAAAAATCGGGAAAAAAGGCGGGAGATAGGGAAAAAGTTATAATTACTTAGCCATCCCCGAAAAAAAAGGGGGGAAATAATCAATAACGTTTTGCTTGTTAGAGGATACTCCCGCGCTAACCGACCCGCCGGATCCCTTCCCGGCTTTCGACGAAAAAGTCCCTGCGCTTTGAGAAAAATCGAGTGATAAGAGCACTTCAACATTGAGGTCACCCGGCTTATCAGTTCCGCAAATATGCACTTATTGCACCAGGAGTATCATATTTGAGAACTTTATTTTTTGAGAACAGCCTTGACAGCTGCGAGGCGAGCTATGGGTGGGAATAAGATAATGATGAGGATGAGTGTCAAGTGCTGCAGCTGCCAATTTTCTTTTGGGACGGGTCGCAAAAACTCGGGCGTAAGAGCGTAGCTCGATTTCCGCATGAGTCCCAGAAAGCATGGGTTTTTACAGGATGATCCAGTGTTACACGGCCAGACTGAAGAAGCGTGTTGCATAGGTCAAAATAAGACTTTTAGGTTGTAAATTTTCATTTTTCAAAAGTGCCCCCAGTCGGAGCCCCAGCTCCCCTCCACAATTTCGGAGAGTAAATTGTTTTACAATTATAACGAATTAAACAGCGGGTGTAGCAAGGCTAAATTTCTTGAAAATACTACCAAAACGTTTTGTAAATTTTGACAACGGTTGTGAATCAAATCTCATGAAAATGTGTACTTTCCTGTACTTTTATGCCCTGAATTAACAAATGATCTTAAAAAAATCGAAATCTCAATTTACAACAAAAAAGTCCTATTTTGACTCATAAAACACGCTCCTGCAGTCTGGCCGTTTAACCTCGGATCACCCTGTATATGGACCGCGTTTAACAGAAAGGAACCAAGCCTCATTAGCTATCGCCAAATTTAACTGAACGATTTAATTTTTTACAAAAGAAATTTTGTGTGGGTCCCTTTGAAAATTTGGAAGAATTTGCTTCGAAGTATGCAGAAAATTCACTTTTAAAATTTACATAAAAATCCGCACAACCGTTTTTGTGTAAACTCATAAGTTGCCTAGTTAAATTTGGCAATAACTGATGTGGCTTGGTTCCTTTCTGCTTAGAACGGGCCATGTAAATTAGGACTTATGTGGGAATTGAGATAAGCGGTTACTTCAGAGGGGCGCCGAAGTGCACTAAGGCTGGGCTTCAAGATTACGGCGATAGAGATACTAAAAAATGACATCGTGACTAGGTCAATGGAGTCATGGTTGAAACTTCCAGAGAGGCGAAAACAATCATGTTCGTCCAAACGCCCAGTTTTCATACCAGATTTTAATAGGGGAGCGTTCTTGAAAAAACGGAGGTAGCTGCTATCCACCGTGAAAGTGCATACAATGGTCTCTGAATCCCTAACTCTACCAATAATGCGTGTTGAGGTAAATTAGATGTACGTTAGTGATTGGTAACTCCAATCAGGGTCGGACTTGCTCGCATCTGAGGGCGTAGACCCTTGGCTGGTTAAAGGGACGTAATGTGATATTTCCTGGTAGGGCATTTCCTACGTGGAGAGGGGCTCAGAAAATTTTGGCAAATCAGCACAAGGTTACGCTATTTTCAGGTTCAAAGTTTATTAAAAGCAAGGAGTAAAAATTCCAAAATTGAACGTGAAGCACAGCATTTAGAGCTCACGCTTCGCGTTATCGCGCCTTCAATTTTTCAGATGCAGCACGGACGTCCATCAAGTACGAATAGTTGTATCTCTGCGCCGTCGTTAACGCGCATCCTTTCCCTCGCTTTACTTCCATATTGTGTTTGTTTGCGTTTGTCTTATTTGTAATGTTGCTTCAAACTAGAACAGATCATTGGAAGTTCACGACTCACGGCATCGCGTCTTACATTTTTCATATGCAATGTGGACATCCATCTTGCGCGAATAGTTGTATCACGTTTACATTTTAGATGTCTCTTATTTTTTAATGTCGAGATAAATGAAGGTTAAGTTTGCCCGAGCTATGCTATGATATGTCCAAATCAATAGTCATTTGAAAAGGAGGAAATATGTTTAAAGGTCTCTTAAAGGGTCTATAAAGGATGCGTATGTCTAAAAATCGAACGGACCATCGCTTCCAAGGGAGTTACACATCGCGAATGAAGGAGGGGGATGATAAAGCGCCTGTATGTCAACAAGAAGGTGAAAATTTCACAGAAAATTGTTTACGCTTCAGAAAGTAGTTCTTGGACCTCTGTTCACCACTATCATACGTTAAAGCACCTGTCTTTACTCCTAACTCTCTCTTCTTCCGTTCATTTAAGAAATTTTCCTCACAAATTCTCGGTCGTATTTTATTTTTCTTCTTATTTTGCTATATTTCTAAGAGGGGCGCGTTTTTGGCGCGCAAAGGGGGCTTATCTGCCAATAGCAGATTGACCTTATGGCCAGTCCGAGCTTGACTCCAATGAAGGAAAATTCATAGTGTGCATTTTCGCGGATGGTTACTTTGATCATACCATGGTTCTCGATTGATAAAATCTTATCAATTATATTCTGTAACACAGAAAGTAGATATTTGATCAGATTTCTTTATTTTTTGCCAATGCGTGGGTAGTAACCTCCAAAACACAGTTCTATAACTAGCACAACTGACTCGGTTGATTCGCAATATGAATGTAATATCTAAAGTCAAGTACTAACAGCACCAAAATGAAAATTATAAAATTTACTGTGCACATGATTGGGAACTGGTGCCGCTCATTCTTATACTCTGTATATTCCATTAACATGACTTAAGAACTTAAATGCCAAAAAAAAGAGATGAGATGTGGTTAGGGGGAAAAATTTACGGTCAAACCTCGCCATAAGGTAAATTTGAATTATTTGTTTTTATGTTGTTCAAATTGTATCATAGATGATTTCTCAACATAATAATACTGGACACTTATTTGTATATTTTTATTGAAATAAAAGTATTTTAATAACAGCTCCAATGTTTTCAAATTTTCTTTTATCTTATCTCATTCTCATTAAAA